GTCTCAAGACATCCCGACAAAGCAACGGTTGGTGTGTGCGGCCCCGACAACTGCAAGTCGGCACCCTGCAGGAGGCCGTTTTATCTCTGGTTTCAGAATTCCCCTTCCTCAACTGTCAGAGACCCCACTCTGTACAGAGCGATATGAATTTAAGTGGATCAACCAGTAGTCCTCTGACTTTCGTCTCCTGCTGTTTTTTCTTGACCTTGTCCATCTTCTCGCTTGGGACGAGTATGAGGGCTGACTCACGGGACACATCACGCCATCTCTCCCGCAAGACCCATCGGCTGTCGAAGAGTTCTCTGCCTGCTGCATCCATGGCACGGGCAAGGGTGCAAGCCAGTGGTAGTCGGGCTTCCCCGGAGTATTTGTGCACCAGNNCCTCCATGGAATCGCACAATTTGCGTCGAAGATGCAGTCGTGGTTTAACCAAGAGGCCGACCTTGACACAGTGAGCCGACCAGACCTGGGAGCCCAGAAATCCTCCGAGAAGCCTCGAAGCGCAGACCATGCTCGTCAAAGCTTCGTCGTTGGGAGGGAAGACAAAGTCTTTTTCAGCAGTAACATGAGGCACGTACCAAACCAACTTCTTGGCACGAAGACCTGCTTCAAAGTCCGCAACTGAGTTAGACCAGGGCAAGACCTTGGCGCCTAGTCGCTGGATCTCTGCTGCTTTCCCGAGTTTCGGATCAACAAAGACCACAGTGCTGTCAAGGTTGAGGGCGGCTTGGTTCGCCATGTCCAAGCCATATCCTTGTGTGCGGAAGTTGTCGAAGACCTGTCGCAACTGATCTCGCTGGTCGGCCGCCTCCTTATACTTCTTGGCAGCTTCCTCGTGGTACCCACGAACATCATGGGAAAAGGCCTTCTGCAAAGTCTTCGTGACTCTGGCATACTCCTGTTCAAGCTTCACGTGTTTAGCAGACGCCTTTGTGGCGGATGACGAGGCCGTGGCCGCATCATGGAGACCTTGGAGATCCTCCAGACCTGTCTGAGGCAGCAGGTCCCGAACTTGAGCTTGCCGTTTTCGTTTCAGGGAGGCCTTCGTTTCCTTCCCCATGTTGA